CCTAATCAGACCCTAATTTGTTGTTATGGTAACGCTCGGTAAGAATGGGGATATGCGAAGAATATAATCAGTACACTTTTTTTCAAGAACAATTAGAAACATGCGATATTTGGCACTTTTTCATGCACGTCTCAATTTTCCCATCATCATTGGAACTGACAGAAGAGGTTCATTTTCCCAAAAGTGTCCCCCCCCCATTATTCCATAGGCTCTGCAGCGAAGTCAGAATGAACCTTAACAAGTCCATTGGAGAGAACATTTCCTGCATATGACCGTCGATCAAATAATAAATCCACAAGAATATAAGTTTCAGTATTCGAGGTGTAAGTCAACGTATGACGATATGAAAAAGTTTGATTTTTCAACAAGAATTTTGCTTTAGTCTATTGGCACTTTACTCAAAGTGATATCTGCATTAAAAGGAAAAATATATAAAAATGGGTTATCAACCTAATACAGACAGTGTAGACAAACAACCAGCAACTTACTTAATCAATTTGACTTACTGGGTGAATGGAATTAATTGGAAGGCAAGAAGAGCACTTGTGTTTTCTGGATTTTGCGCTGTAAATAGTTGCAGGGGAGAAGGTGGGGGAGAGGGTGGGGGGGGAGGGGGGTGAGCGGACGGCGAAGGTCACTTAGCGCCGGCAGATTCTGTCCACCTTCTTTCCACTTCATTGTGTTTTTTTTACTCTAAAACGTACACACACACACACACGAGCGCTTGAGAGTTGAACAATTCACACCAAGCAAAGTTGGGCTGCCAAACGACGTTTTCTCTCATCCCCTCCCAGCCCTGGTTTTTGTCCCCACTGCTCATCTTCCTCAAATGCATTTTTGGTGCAGTGATGGAGGCAAATGCAGGACGCTGAGGCCTGTCAAATTGCCTAGTCAATTAACGCGAATTTTTCGTGTTTCTAGGTGACCTCCTTCTCTCGCCCTCCCTCCCTCCCTCCCTCGCTTTGCTCACTACCTCAGCGGGAGATGAGTGGACTATTCTTCGGCCTTATCCACTTAAAGACTCCTCCCGAGGTGTGAATAAACCCTTCCTGCAAATATCAAGGACTAGTAACTAAACCATAAGCATCCCAGGAATAAGATTAAGAAGAGCTCTCTTCCCAAAAATATCTTTAAATAGAAGGAGAATTTTTTAATTTTATTTTAAAAATGTTAGTAAACGCGTATTTAAATAGTATATTTTAAAGATATTCAACCTACGTGGATAATTGTGTGCAAATAGGCACAAACTGCTTTTAGCGAATCGAATCTTGCTTGAACCTTTTAAATGCTAAGCAAAAAATTGATAAGAGTTGAGTATAGCTTGCTCGATTTAAGGAGTCAGATTTCTTCTGGCCCAAGGAATTTAGACACCGATTTTGACATAACCAACCCTGAAAATACAGCAACGCTGGAACTTCCTCTCATTCGAATTAGTTTAATTCTCACCCAATTTTCATGAGAACAAATTCCTATAAAAATGAATGTCCCCTGATGATTCCTGTTGGTGTTTGAAGACGGTCCCCCAAGAACTCTCCGCATTCCGCTAGACAACTCTAATGCCTAAAGCTACACATATTTTTGTCCGTTTTTACTATTTGCTGTATACGGGTGATCGGATTAAGAAAATTGACAAATTTTTCAGGCCAAAATTTTTGCAATGTGCTGACACTAATTTGGAGACGAGTTACGTTGACTCTGTCCACCATCTCCAAGTATTCGACTTTTAAAGCTCTTCTACAGCTGTTCAGACAAATGAGCATGGAACTGCTCCTCTTGGCAACGACTTAAAGGTTATTATGAGAGTCAGGGAAGAGGTATAATTTATTCTATAACTTTAGCAAGTGAACAATTATTTAAAATGAACATGGCACAAATGCGTGCTTTTTGTGAGGAAAAATTTGACAAATTTAAATCAACATTAAAACAGAACCTTTTAAATTAATTTTATTAAAGAGACCTAAAGTAAGAAATTTTCTTTTATCTTACATAGTTGATTCGAGAAGAATGTAAAGCAAAAAAAAATGACTAACACCATAACTTAAGAAAATCCAATATCTCAGGTATGATTGCTAAGTAGTTTGGAATTCCAACTGCGTGGTTATTTTTACTTTTGATGACCATTTCCGCCACACTTGATTTCTTAATCTAATTGTCAAATCAAAACCTGTTTTCGACATTTTCCGTAGGCGACTAGTTCCGAATCACAAGCACTTCTTCTTTCCCTTAACTTGAGTGAAACTGACTCCCCACCCCTAAAATGGGAAGCGGAAAAATCCCTCCCATCTCCCGTCTGCGATGGCGAGTGAGCCGAGGTGCTAGCGAAGTTGCCGTATGTTTTTTTAGCGGGTGAATTGCGGTTGTCCCAATTACCACGCCCTCACCCCCTTTCCCTTCACCCCTCAAGCTGAAAAACCTCCTCGTCACCTTTTCATCCAGCAAGGCAGTCTCCATCCGCGAGCAGAGTGCGGATGGAGAAGGAGGAGGAAAAGTGGGAGAGGAAGGGTGTGAAACGGAAATGGAAGGAGAAAAACGCTCGCCAAAATTGAAACACGCATCGACTCCCCGCTCTCGAATTAGCTCCCGCGTCGATTAGGGTTTAAAGGCCTCCGACGAAGTGCTTGCATTTTAATGGAGCATGCATGTCTGGATAAGCATTTCACTTCTCCGTTTAGCTTGTTCTAGTTCCATTCAATTATTCTAAAGTGTGGAAGACGTCACCATTTCAACAAACTTTCGCCTTTTTATTCATGCCTCAATTTAAGGTCGATTTGAAAAACATTTGTATTTTTATTTTAAATCAAATAACCCACCCTACATTACGTGATTAATTAAAACCATTTTTTGTTAATCACAATTTCACGCGACCAATTTTACGGCGATTTCGATAGCTCTTTTAATTTTATTGCAATCAAAAGTCGATACGTTAGTATTATTGTCACTTTTCCACAAAACCACTCATCTCACACTTCCTGGCACACAGTGTTGATTATTTGCATCTGTATATTGTTGTGATAGAATGCTATCCGTTTGAGACTAAATATGTCAGTGACGGGGTGCTGTACGTTTGTGGCAAAAAATCACTCTCTGACAAGACCGAAAACGACTTAAAATTCAACTGGACGCATGAATACTCACGCGGGTAGCTAAGAGGCGGGTGGTGGGTGGTGGGTGCTTGCTGGTGTGGTTTGAGGAGAGCGATGAGGAGTTGGAGCGAAAAAGGCGTGAGTTGCTGCTTCGGATCTCCCCAGGGACATCGCAAAGTGAACTCGTTAAAAATTTACGTCCCTGCACACGGACAACTCGTTCTCTGCGTCCATCCAACTAGCAAACCCACTCATCGCGCATCGGCCAGACAAAGAGGGAAAAGAGCCATCCCATTTCGCTGAGTGGGAAAGTGGGAGTTTACCTAATAAACCCCCTTAAATAACTTTATCGCTTATTGAAGAGTGCTGAACTGCCTAAAGTGAGAGAGAAAACATCGAACTGGCCAAAAAAATGTAGCAAAATCGACCAAAGCACTACACAGAGAAGACATTTCCAAGGAAGAAAAGGTAAATTGAAATTAATTTCCACGCCATACTACGTGTTGCATTTATTGTAAAAATAGAATAGATATAGATATAGATATAGTGCAGTGGAACAACAGAACCTTCAAGTTATGATTAAGTTGGAAAGGTCAATCTTAGATTCAATGGATTTTGGCCCTAAATTCCTTCTCTGGGGAATACCAATTAATAGACAGGGAATTCCTTTGTTTGCGTACAAGTATTAGTTTAAGATCATGGAGTAGGTTTGTGTTAAGCGGTTGGCCGATCCATTTTAACGTCAAAAATTGTAAATATGGAACTGCGTTACCAGGCAAGTTAAGATACGACAAAATGGGCTTGTTGTGGCAGCTTGGCAATCAGCACGTCGGAAAATATCGAAATTCGTCAACCGCTAGAAAACGTTACAACAAAACTCTTTCCCACTCGCCTCAACTCGAACTCTCAGTCGATCGCCCAAGACTTACTGAGCAAGGGGGAAATGAAGGCTTATTTTATGCATAAACACAGCCAGAATTATTTTTTGCATTTTCAGTGCATTAGTCCACATTCTTCATGCACATATAAGCGCCTCAAAATCCGCCTGAGTTTTGAGCTGTTTAACAAAAGATTTTCCTTGGAAGATAAGGCAGAGATTGAGGAGAGTAATTTCAATAAGTGTCAAGTCGGATAACACTTCCTCTCGCCTACTAGCAAGCAAACTAAAACCAACCCCATTGGGAATGTTTGCGTGTAACTAATTAATTAAACTGGGCACGTAGACGCCCTGTGATTCTCACGCAATTTCTCGCTCCTCCTCCTTCTCCTCCTCCTCCTCCACATCCTCCTAGGGTTATTCTTGCCTACAGGAGAAGAGGAGGAGGAGGAGGAGGAGAAGGAGGAGGAGGAAGAGGAGGAGGAGGAGAGAAGTTGACAGGTTGTTTTGCCTCGTCGTCCAATTTCTCTTCATCCCCTAACAACGGCCTCCTGCGCCTCTTCGGCTAATTGGCGTCGAAACCACTTCTGCTTCGGCTCTCAAGCATTTTCCAATAAACCGGCCATTGACCACTCACACCCCACCCCCTCCTCCATCCCTCCTCCACCCTCACAGTGCAGCCCTTTCAACGCTGAACTTCTTGAATTGAGCTTAACATAACAGAATCATTGTAGACTGCGCATAAAGCATACTTAAACGGTTGCGTGTAGTTAAATATGCTAATTTTTTCATTAAACATAGCGGAAATTATTGATGTACCTTTCAACAATAACGAAACATTATATAAAAAGGAAAATATTGATTTTCACAGCATTAAAACGAATTCATTCATGTCTCATATCAAACCGTCAATATTAGAATACATAGGACATCTTCCAGAGTGAAAATTTAAATACAATATTTTTCAAAAAAAATTATTTAATAAGAGCCTCAAATTAAATCGAATTTCTTTTCATCGCACGACTTACCCACATTTAACCTTTCTACTTTCTCTGTGCATCTTATCTATGAAATGTCCTCAAAAATTACTGCAAATTATTGTTAGATAACTCCAGGTGTTCAATTCAATCTTACTCTCATCTCCTTCCAATCTCTCCGATTTATAGTTCGAATATTGTCCTGTGGGGTAACATTGAGGCAAGATTCCAGTTGTCACAACTTATACCCTAGCAATCCCTTTCCCAATGCAGCCTTCCTTACCTTCTCATTTTTCATGTCGAAATGTAAGTCGTTCGCGATGCTCAGCACAGGGATCTGTTTTTGAAGCTAACAGACAACAATATGGACCGATTTCCCAATCAGCATCTCATTCTCCAATATCCCTAATCGAGGTGTTTTGGCCAACTGATGTAATCGATTTGTGCAACGCAGGCTGACCACTTGAGAACTGCCATTCAGCGCCAAAAATGACGTCCTTGAAATGTGTCCGGATATTATAAAAAAATTAATTCCGTTTCAAAGAACTTTGTGACTTTTAGTACCCATGTGTTAATCATTTGTATTATATTTTCGATTAAATAGAAGCTGTTCCATTGATGCATGAAGTCAGTATTTACCGATAGCTGAATATATCTGAAGTTCAATTCTTAAAGTTTAATATTTTCTCATTCGGATTCTAACACTGCCTCATAAAGTGCAAGTCAATTCAATCTTTAATTGTAAATTTATTTTGTAATCAAATTCGATGCTTTCTTAAATGCAGCTATGAATACACAAATTAATTATGATAACTCTGTCAAATTAATTAATTTATTTCAAATGGCAGGCGTTTTGAGAGTTATCATTAGCCCTTTAGCTGGCTTTAGATTTCACAGACACAGAGGGGAAGAAACATCAAATTGAAAAAAGTCGAGAGGGGAACAGAAGAGTGTTTCAAAGATGTAAAAGAGACAGACAGGCATAAAGGCAGAGAAAAGGTAAGGTGAGGTGAGTACTGTGAAAGTGGTCAAATAGGATATACAGTGGGGTGATGGTAGTTTGAAGTCAGAAGTCAACTGCCGGTTAATAGACTGTTTGCCGTATTTGTAAACGTTGTCCAGGTTGCACCCTGTGGCGGTAAGTCTATCGCACACCGCATTCTTTTAAATAAAGGACTCTTTTAAGCCCCACTCTGCCTTATCATATTGAAAAAGCAGACAATTATATGGTTCATAATAATATTTATTTTGATAACAAAATAAGCCTTATTGAGATTTATGCAGATACAACTTATAACTATGTGGGAGTTTTGTGATAAAGTACGCATCATCTAGGCTTTATTTATGTTTTGCTTTCTAACAAAGATCCATGAAAGTTTTAAACTGGGACGATAAGTTTGCTCTAGCTAGTATTTGAGGGGAAGATAACCTCAGTCATGTCTATTCTCGTTTAAATGCGACGCATTCATTGGAAGTATGTGATCTCAAATTTACTTCTATTTCGTGAAATTGTATGAGCTCTTCAGACAACGGATATATTCCATTTAAATAAAATTGGCACATTTGGAAGAAGTTCATATTAGCTCAGTAGACTTTGTGCCCATAAACAGAGTCATGCAAAAGTGATCTGGTTAGTCACATGCTTTAATGGTTGCAAACATGTCACATTTTGCATGAAATGCGGAGTAGAAGGGTATTGAAGGAAAGGCATTTGCTCAAAGATGAAGATGAAGTTGACCCACCTAGTGGACGCTCCCTTTCCGAGCGATGACCAGAATCCCTCCCCCCTCGAGGAAGACTTGACGCTCTGACTTACCTCCCAGAGGCTTTTACTCTGACTACTGGGGGGATTGAGTGGGGGCGGGGGGTGGGGATTACTATGCTATGAGAATAAACGTTTGTGCTGCCCAAAACATGCTCTTTTAGCATTGTTCCTAAATTCATGGAATTCCATACACTTCAGTGATAGAAGCGCTAAAGAATTTTATTTAACATTTCTAAGCTATTTCAATCACTTAAAAGGTAGCAAGATTTGATTTTGGACCAGTCGTCATTTCAGAAGCCAGTTATATCTTTTAATCTCTTATATTAGACAAGTGCCTAATTTCGTTTTTAATAATGTCAAACTAAATGGCTCAAAGTCAAATTATATTAAATTTTGTAATGAAAATTGTGCAATTCTATGTAGCTTCAACTCAAAGTTGTCGCATATTATTCTATTTAAAAATGTTACACTGGTTATTCCCTTAATTGAACACAACGAATCTCTACTGCGATATACTGTAGTCATAGACTTCAGGAACTAAGGAAGTGTTACTTTTGACAATCTCATAAGAAATGAATGCAAATTTGAAACACTGGCATTCATTTTTCATTTAAAGTGTTTTTATTTCGTATTACTTATCTCAACTGTCTCGTTGCGGATATATGCATTGATTCATTCAATTTTTGAAAAAATGTATGTGCTCATATCTAAGCCTATGTATAAAGAGATGCTCTCTATCTCTCCATGAGATAAGAATGAAGAAGACGAATGAAAGATAATCACTTCAATGATGGGCGGGGAAGACTTTGCCCAAAAATCTACAACTTCATCTTGTGATTAGCTTTTTAATAAATTACTCTACTAATGTGAGTGTGAGTTAAAGGTATTGGTGGATAATTGGTTAGTAGACAGTCTAGTAATTATGTCATTTCATTCACACGGAGGACCAAGTCGAAATCACATTGGAAGTCTCCATCAACTGAGTACAATGAGAGCCATTGCCGTTACTTTAGTGGCTTCTATATAAGGCTGTAAAAATGTTCAATTTCTTTTTGAACATATATTTGCCATATTTATTGGATGGCTGTGGGATAGAAGCAAATATTAGCTTTTCCCTAAGAACTTCCGAATTATGCAAAAGTTAAAACTCACTGTAGTTCAATCAGATGCATTAGCCATTGAATAATCAGTGGCTTTCAAATTACACCATGACCACAGCGGTTCTCTAATCTACCCGTTCTTGGACGCAATTGAATGGCAGACAGAAGACAGATGCACCTAAGAAGCTCTCTGTAAAGTCAGTGGAAAGGGAGGAGGGAGTTGGGTCTGGATTTTATGAATTTTTAACA